TGTGACATGCCTCCTGAAACTCCTCATTTCTGCTAGATGTAATTATATCCTGCTTACTGGTGAGGAATAACATCATGACTCTTGCATGCTGTCAACACCGTATTCTTTATTTGATGCTTAATTGGCTGCTGGAGCTCGCAGGCGTGTCTACCCTCTGTCGCAGAGTGTCCTTCATCTGTTAATAATGCAGAGGGATGTGAAACCTTCATTTTCAACTTGAATGCACTTGCAGTAACTATCTGGTGTGTATTTCCCCTCCTCTCACAGTCAGGTCATTGTCAGTGTGTGCAAACAAAGCGGGACTATTTATACACTTAAAACTTGATAGCTCTTGTGAATTACCATGGACAATGCCATAGTGGATCCTAGAATAAGACGCGCCCATCTATGCTCAGAGAGGGCTGTGACATTTCAGATAACATTTAGAGGCCCGATTAATAATATGAGCAAAGGGTGTGTGTCCAAACCCAGTCCACGTAGCAAATTCAAATATATTTCCTAATTACTTCCAAACAACTGCTCTCTTAATGCGCCTGACTTTTGTCTGCTGACTCACTGCTTTGCTTCCCCGCATGGCTCGTGTCACACATACAGGCCCACACAGTGGCTTTAAAACTAAAATGCTGCTTGGTTACGACGTACTCTCGGTTTATCAGTCTGTAGACCCATCAAGAGCTGCTAAGTACTGTTTTGTAGACATTCTGCTGGTACTGCACTGAAGAATTTGCCGATGACATTTACTGCATTGCACGGCATGATGCCCGACATACTGTATGCCCGCATTTCATATTGTTTGTTATGGTAGCAACGTGGCTTTAATGTAAGTTGTTCGGTCCACCATTTGAAATAACATTCATGGTCCCCAAACAATGAATCATTATGACTTTTCATCTCGCACCATCACAGATCAGAATTTCAGTATGTCCAGTACTGAAATTTATACTAATATGAGATAAAATGACTTAAGTTCCCATCTTGTCCTTTCCCAAATGGCCAAAATTACCTCTTATATGTGTTCATCCTAAATGTGTTCATTACATGTATAGAGTTACAGGATATATGGTTATTCTCTTTCACATTTAAGTTCCAGTGTGTAATATTAGGAGGATCTATTGTCATAAATGCAATATAATATAAATTACTATGTTTTCAGCGGTATATAAAGACATTACATGATGAACCGTATAAGCCGTTTTGTTTTTATTACCTTAGAGTGAGCAATTTCTATCTACATGGTTCCTCTTACATGGAAGTCGCCATGTTGCACCACCATGTTTCTACAGTAACCCAAACGGACAAACTGCTCTACAGAGTGCATTCCGTCACTACGTTGAAAAAGTACAAGAAGAAGTAGTAGTAGTAGTAGTAGTAGTCATCTGGTTTATTAGAAGTAAAAGAGAAGAGAAATTAGGACAAATAGAGGCCCACACGTGTTATTTAGCACAAGAGCTGACAGAGCGTGTCAACCACCGCAGCTTCTCCTACACGCTTGCAAAGGGGGAGCGGTGAGTGAGTCATTGGTTGCAATTCACAACCCTTACCACTAGATGCCACAAAATTTTACACACTGAACCTTTAACTATTATGAAAAATATACATTATGGATTTAAATAAATAGTATCTGTAAAATATCCCCTGTACGCAGGATAAGCGGTTGACGATGGATGGATGGATGTAAAATATCAGATAGAAGCAGATTATGCATATGTGACTTATGAGAAGGGTGGGGTCGCCCCTGCCACTAAAAAGAAAAAGAACATGAAAAGAAGAAGCGACAGGGTGTAGACAGACAACATTTATACAATTAATATGTAATTAGAGCAACTCTTTGAGAGCGGAGTAGAATCCAAGGCTGCACATCGGATGACACACTCAAACGCTGACCCCAGTGCTAATGGTTAAAAGTACCATGCAGAGAATTCAGTTGCTTTTCATGTTCAATCTATGAAGTTTGGATCCAAAATTGGAGCTTGAACAAACTTCCACCCACATATAAGAAGTGTTGATTTGGACCATCACAGGACACTATAACTCCCCACCAGCCCTTGTCTATAGTCGTAAAGGTGGCATTTAGTACAAACCTTCTCCAAATGAGCCAATTCCCTGATCCTGTACTGTATTTATCATTTTTTTATATTTATATCTGCCCAGCCTTCGGTTTGGTGCAAATAAAGTTCCATCAGCTGTACTATTGCTCACAGATTGAATCTCATCAGATATCCTGCTGACCGCCCAGGCTGCCTCCATAAGTGCAAACTCAGTGGTGAGGATATTGTTTGGAGAAGGAGCTTCCTTGTTATTTGAAACGTTTAAGTCCAAAATGCAAAGTCTACTCCTTGAAAACTAAACTGACATCTGCTCTCACAAAATGATTGCTGGTTGCAAAAGTACACAGGGTATTGCATGAAGTAAACTTTTGCTTACAAAATATCCTCTTTTTTTTACTTGATCTTCTGCTTTTTATTCGGCCATTTCCCACAATTGATTGAGTAAAACATAGCATCTAAGTCTCTGATGGAATCAATAACAAATGCAGGAACTGATCAAGTGCAATCTAATGTTTCAGATACAAGTTGATGTCAGTGGCAACAAGACACTAAGTTTAAAGGAAATGATTGTCTGGGATTACTATGCTTGCTAAAGATGTGAATAAAGACGAGCCAATGAAAATTAAAGGAGTTTTTAAGGTCCACCATGTACAGACACAGGAAACAGGGGTTCTGGGCCCAAATGCAGGTAACAAACAGGAGGGTAGTCCATAAATCCAAAGGCAACCATATAAATCCAAACAGATACGACAAAAAACACGAGGTATAAACCAGATACATAAGACAGATCGCATGAAACACAGATAAGACTTTGATGAACAATGAACATGCACCGAGTGACAAGAGAAGCCCAACCAGGAGGACCGGACGCAGTGACAAACAGGTGAAACCACACAGACAATCAGTGACACAGAAACAGGAAGTAAAACAAGACCGCTACACCGGGGGCATAACAACTACAGAGTAAAACAGGAAACACAGAAAACCACAAAATTTTTTAAATTTGCAGGCAAGGGATGAGATCATCTGCAGCGTTCTTCCTGTCATATTTTTGCCGACAGATGTTCAGTACTCTTTGTAAAACCATGTGGCTGTTACTGTGACACCTTTCCTTTTGACACAGTGGCGTTTTTTGCGCGTTTTATTGTAGCTATCACAGCTAATTCTGATTGTCATTTTATTGTGATTTATTTACCGTAAGGTATAGTATTTCCTAGAGCCAACAAATGACGATGAAATATTTGTAACAACCAATGTAAAATATCTCGTGACTGAGTTCAGGTCAAATCACTATTGCCACGTTGATTGGTAGCCTATAGCCTACTGTCACCTAAAATGTCTAAAAAAACCACAGGTCCACAACATTAACAGTCCTCAGCTCAGCCCAGAGTGTTTATACCTGCCCAATAATTCCATAGGACATAAGAAAATACCACCATACATAATGGGTGACATGTGGGTCACCAGGTCATGTGTAATTAATTACAATAAAATGATGGCTGAATTCAATTTAGGTTCCAGCGCTTTTGTATTGTACGTGCTATGCTACTATCTCAGTGGGACAGTAATGGACTGGGCCATCGTTAATGTTATCGGTAACACCTGTGAGAACAGGTAAAAATGTCTGCCATGAGGTAAGATTTAAGAGTAAGCATTAGAACAAATTATGTTTAGTCAGTAACAAAGTGCAAACTGCTATAAATCCACATGCCTTTTTAAAGGATAAACATTCATATAAAAATGTAACTTTCTGTAAACAAACTTTCTTTCTATCTTCTTCAGTTACTTGAAGGTGTCCTTGACCGACCTCCCAGCTGGCCCAGAGAAGCTGCTCACAAACCACCAGTTTCACACTGATTCTACCTGCTGCTCTCAAGTGTAACTGGAATGTACAAAGCTTGCAGGGCTAGGAAATCATCCCTGAATGAGCCCAGTTATCTGGTCCTTTGTCTATTCCTGTGCTCCTGGCTGGCATGACTCAGGGAAATATTCACTTGTGAGGTTTCTCTCTACATGGAAGGCACACGTGGGAAGGCTTCCTCTGGTGGGTATAGCGTAGGATGACAGATCTGACCTTTGGGCTCGTGCCAGATATACCGCTCGGAGAGAGTTGACACTGAGCAGTGTGTCTGGTGTTAGTAACACTCGGCCTGGTGCTGCCTGATGGATGAATCACACTGAAAACCTCACAGTCTGTGTCTCTGGCTTTGTTCTGGGTCAAGAGCAGGAGACTGTGTATGAGAATTTCATCTGTAGTGTGGTCAGGATTGTTTTGCAGTTAATAACAAACCAGCAGACATTCTCCTGGAAACCTACTGAGAAATGTTCTCTCACATATGGGATGCTGAACACAAGTGACCATTGGACACGTAGTAATATGCACTCATGTTTAGTCCATTTTATTTAGGCTCTGGAACATTAATTTGACCTGTGACAAAAAATGTCACATACCTGACAGTATGACGCCTTTTTTAGAGAGGTTTATGGGTGTGGAGAACGACGTTGACAACTTCTGGATTGATGCTCATATTTAACAGTTTCTTTTGTGTTATTTAACAGGCAATAATATCAAATAGGTTAAGGGGACAACTAAGAGAAGTTTATTGCACATGTCAATAAAATGTCACATGATTTTAAGGTGATGACTGTGATACAATGTAAGTGACGAAAGTGAAGATGAGGATCACAGTGATGAGGATGAGGAAGGGCTGCTCGAGGAGCAGGTGGGTGATGGGTATGGCGAAGATAATTGCTCATGATGGTGAGATGATCATGATGCTGAACACAATGATGATGATTAAAGAGCAAGTATGAAAGAGGTGATGAAGAGAAGGAGAAGAAAATCACAGTAGTGGTGGTAGTGATGATCCCTCACAACCTACTCCCCCCCTAAAGGGGCTTCGTCGTCGCTGCCCCTCCCATGAACAGCGTCGCTTCGGTGACTGCCGCTTTACGTGATGACGTCGGATGTATATGAGCGCAGGCGGCGGGATCTCTCTCCCCTTTTACCGCCATCGGAGCGGAGTGTCTTTCTTCTCCGGGACCTCTTCACTGCGCAGCGCCGCTTCACCAGTGCAGCCTCCGGCCAGAGAGCAAAGGTAAGGGACAGCACTTGGAAATGGCTTCGGCGCCAACGCCCCAGACTTGTGCGTCGTTTCAGAAGTGAAATTTAAATTCTGCTGCTGAAACGAGCAGCTGCAGAGGGAGACGGCTGTGGTCTGCTAACGCTAGTCAAGTCAGACAGCGGCAGCAGCAGCCGCAGCCATTGAGCCTGGCTCCACCATGATGTGTGTTAACGTTACACGCGATTTAGAAAAAAATAAAACAGCGGTTATCATGTGTGCCCGTTTCCCCCTGGGTTGTTTTGTCAGTCACTGCGTGGATAGAAACCACAAACGGTCGGATAATTCTCGTTATGGTCGGCGTCTTTCGACATTTGTTGACACGTGTCTTGTAGCTTGTATTTTTGGAGTTGACCTTATTTTTTTTGGAGGATGATACCCAGGGTAGGGAGCTGTGGATGGGAGTCTGGATTCGGTATACAGCACACGGCGGTTGGTTTAACTCGACAGCCGGACAGATAACATAGCGAAAGCTGGTTAAAACATGGTCATTAATGCCACCGGAGAGTTGGCACCACTTCCTAACTGCCTCATTATATATATTTTTTTCTAGCCACGGCACCGTGTCTGTCGAAGCGGTTCCTCCCACTTGCTCAGCCCAAGTAACGTTAGTGCGCATCAAGCTAGCAGCACATAAGCTAGCTTAAATAGCCAGTCACATCGAGGCAGTGACAAGACCGGGCAGGCCGGCTAAAGTTAGCCTGTTTACTAGCTAGTGGCCGGGTTGTTTATGGAGGAAGCGAGTGGACATTTGTTTGACGTCGGACGGTAAGCGTTTCAACAGGTTGGGCCGGCTCGCTTGGTCCAAATGAAGTTGAAAATGTGGTTTCAGAGTGAGCTGGCAGGCAGGCACCCACCCAGGGCTTTTTGTCAGTCATCCATGGTTTGCTTGAACCGAGCATGCAACACGTGGTCACTGGGCAGGATTAGAAGAAAAAGCTTGTCCCAGAAAGGAAAAGGTCTGTCTCTGGCCAGTCTCTTGTAACATATCTAATTACTAATCTAGGCACACAGATGTGGAAACAGGAACTCTTCCAGTGGACATGTGTTTTTTTTGTGGCAGGGGTGACATAATTAAAAGGTCTGTTTGTTATATGCTAACGTTAGGTAATTAGATTCCAAGCTGATCATGGCCAGTTGAAGATGTAATGCTTGCCAAATGTATCCCATATGTCAGATATCGTGAGTCACTTGGTCAGGTGCAGATGTTTTCCTCGTGATGATTTTTCAGATGATTGCCATTGTTAAAATGACAAAATATTGAATAGACATACTTAAAACGTGCAAGTATTCCAGGAGCGTCTACAGTGAAGGATAACATCTACATACCTTTTGCTGTAACCTTGTCTCCTAGTAAAACAGTGTGCCCACATTACATTGTCCACCTGCAACTAGTTTTGTTCATTTAAAAGCAAGAATTGACGCAAACTTGAAACACCCTGTCACATATCATATCATTCAATCGCAATATATTTTAAAATGTGTGCTGGTGCTGAGGGCTTTCTACAGTACTTTCCTATCAATAATTTGGCATAATAGAGGATACAAGATGACTGGGTGGTGGTTGTCATCTTACCTTTTTAGATAATGTAGTGTGATATGGGGCGAATGTGCTTCTAATATTTCATGCTTGTGCATTTGTCTATCTGGACCAATGTTGACTAAAGTGAAAGCTTTGAAGTGCATCTCCGTGTTGAAGAGTGACAGAATGCATCTCTCAGTTGAGAACTGGGACATAATTAAAGCTACAACATGCAGACTGCTCTATTTGTCATTTATCCCCTTATGGAGGAAGAAACAATTTGATCTGCCATGTGACTTGGCTCTGAGCTCAGTGAACTGTCACATCAGCTCTGTAGTTGAATAATCTTGCTGTATTAGCTGAATTTGGGCCAACTTTTTTATTTTTTATATATGAGAGAGAGGAGGGTGTTGATATGACTTTGAAAGGATATCTGTCAAGCTCCTTTAAAAAAAAAATCCCTTATGATTTTTAAAGGCCTTCTCTTGAGTTTGAGTGAAATTGTTAGTCTGTGAAAACAGTTTCATCTTGGGCTGATTTTCTGATCATGTGTGACTCCAGAGGGTCTAAGTTGTGGGCCTTGGGACCCAGAGCATGCTGCTGATTTACCCCTGAAATGACAGGTGAACGGAATTACTGACTTGACAGGATGGGAAACCCAGCAGGAAGGTGGCAGTCAAAGACCAGGTTTTAGGAGGCTTTTTGCCCCTGTCTGTGCCCTATCAAAAGGACATTCACATTTTCTGCATACTGGGATTTTTGGCAGACCTTGCTCCTAGGTAGTACCAGATTTATGCTTGTTGTGAATGTGTGATTCTGAGTAGAAACTAGTCAATGTGGTAGGTATAAAATAATATTTTCACCATCATGTATAACACAATGAGGCAAAGGTACGCAAAATTGCTGATGTGGACATGCGGCTAATAAATATATAATCAATTAATCTGCCATTTATTTTCTGAATTGTCTTTGAAATGTTGTGAAATGGTGAAAAATGTCCTTCTAAATTCATATTCACATAAAGCTCAATGTGATGTCTTCAGATGTCTTTTTTTTTTTTTTGTCAGTCTGAAATCTGTAGATGTTTAGAAACCAAAACCAGTGTAAATCAAAAGCTGTACTGACATACAGAACTCGATTTGAATTGCAGCTTGCTGTGAACCATTGCAATGTGACCACTTCTGCCAGCAGGGTCTTACAGATAAATAAAATTAAAAAATGAAATAAAAAAACTTTACTTTTGCAGCATTCAGTTCCCTCTGGTACACAGTTTTAGGTCCCTGAAAATGTACAGTGAGCCTGACATGGTCATCTCCATGCTGGAGAAGAAAACTTAAAACTGCTGTATTTCTTAAAGAAACTTAAGAAGGCAAATTTCTGTGTGAAGTTCTTGTCAGCTTTTACAGAGGAGCAATAGAAAGCATACTGACTGTTAACATCACTAACTGGCATGGCATGTATACAGCCCAGGACTGGAAGACTCTGCAGTGGGTAATTAAAACTGCTCAGATCATTGGTACCCGTCTGAACATCAGATATCTGTGAGGTGCGGGCGCAGAGCCCAAAGGATGCTAAAGTACAGTACCCACCCAGCCACAGCCTGCTCACCCTGCTGCTGTCTGACAAGTGATACAGAAGTAAATACCAGACTTCAGAGTAGCTTCTGCCCCCCAGGCTATTATACTCCTTTAATTCAAATTCATCCTAGAGGAACAGTCCGCTGGCTGCTAGGCTAATTCATGCAGTATAAGATGCATGATGATATCCTCGTCATTTTGGCTCGAACTGAACAAACATGCCACAGCCTCGCTGAGTGAGTTTGGCTTTTAGGGAGGGGCGAGAGCCAACACTGTAAAGGAAAGGGGTGCGCTGGATTGATAACACAAGACAAACCAGAGCATCATTGCAAAACGGAATGCGGCACAAAAATAGTTTTTTGATTAAAGGAAGCCAGAATTGTTAAACAGAATTTAATAGCCCACCTTTAGGTCTTACCTGTGAAAGTCCACCATATCTGCCACTCTGAAAAGGATGCCATGGTAATCAGTCTCTCTAAAGGGGAGAGGGTGAGGAGGACTGCAAGTCTAGAGTTGAATAAAATTGCCTTTTGTCTGCGGAAGGCAGGGAGTTTTGTTTTTAAAGCACGTGATTGACTGTGTGCACTCATAAAATCAGTGTACACCAGTGTTGTCAAAAATATCTAGATTTTTTTATATCAATTCTGAATACGGTTTTAATATTCCTTTCCCACAGTATAGATCCTGAAAATGCGCTTCTCTTGTCCCCGACAGTGAGCTGACACCATCTATGGCTGACACACACCGCTGCAGCGCCCACACAGCCCCGCCTCCTGTCACACACAGCGCTTTCTTCTCGTCTCCTTTCCTCTATTTGAATTAGGTTTTTCCCCTTGCCAGAGTTTCGACAAGTCCCGCCCTACTGTGCTGTGATTGGCTACTACTAGTCACTTGTGATTGGATGCTGGCAAAGAATACAAGCAAGCTCGTATGAAAGTGATGGTACAGAGTGGCGCTAACAAAAGAGCAAAGCACCTGCAGGACTGACACGCTGTCCTTTATAAAGAACTTGGAGAAGTCTCCCCTTTCAACATCACTGAAGTATTAAACAAGATGACCCAGTAAACTGTTGTTTAGATGTCCTATTGTTTGCCTAACAATTAGGCAATCGCGATGTCATGTGCGATTACATAACAGCAGAAAGTGTACTATTTAATAAAACGGAGTGTGTTTGATGCTCACTTCTCTGTGCGTTGCAGTCTGCTCATTATCCGGCCACACCAGGCTCTTGCATGTTCCTCTAAAAACACACAATGAGAAATGATTTTATGAGCAGTGTGCGAGTAATGTTTAAAACAACAACAAACTGTATTTTGTTCATTTTCCTTGATAATCAAGAAAGTGGACTCCGTGCCATTTGTTACATTATAATCAAATCACAATATTGCCCACAATAATCGCAATAAGACTTTCTCCAAATCATGCACCCTACTAACAATTTATAATTATCAAAACTAAGCTAATCCTTCTCAGAGCAGACAGCAGAGCTTCAGCTGATAGGAAATACTTTGACTAAGGTCAGAAGTAAATTAACTGATGCTGTTCTGCTTAACATGCAGTAATATTTACTTACCAACATAAGTTGATGAGATAATTTAGTAATTATATATAGTAATTTAATCCATGTTGTGTCAATTTTCCCCCGTGGTGTCAAATAATGTTGAGTACAGATATTTTTCAAGGTATTGTATCGAAGGTAGAAATTCCAGTAGTGTACACGACTCATTATTTGGGAATAATATATATTTTATTTTTTCCCCCATCAGTCTTTTGTGCAGAATAGATGCCCGCTTTTGCAGTTGGTCAACTTATTGGTTAGTCATTGTGAATTACGGATCTCACAAGGCTTTTCTTAAAGAATGGAATGATTGCACTGAGCTATGATTTTATCACCTGTTTTTAAAAAGGGGGAGACTGTTTTGGTAATACACTTTCAAATAGACCCCAAAATTTTAGTGAGACCTTTGCATGGTAATTTAGTTTACATTTTTCTGTATGGTGACGTAGACTTTCTTAGGTGCAGCATACATTTGAAGAAATGTTGACAAATTTTGACTTTACGTCATGCTTTTAGTAGGAATGATTTTTTGTTGTGTAGTTTCACTGGAAAAAATATTCTTTTTTGCTGGGGTCTGTCAAAGGATGTTCTGTCTGGAGATCACCACATATGTAAACACTTTGAAAACACGAAAATCCGCTTGTAAAGTCTAGTACAATCAGCTGTTGCAGTAACTTTGAATGTCTGAAGGTTTGTGTGACCACAATGCATGGAAACATCATTTGGATCAGAGAATAGAACCTAACCTATGCTGGATGTGTAGGAGCTGTGTATTCCTCCAGGTGTAGTATACTGGTGCTTTTTAAGTATTTTTGTCCCTAATCTTAATCATTCTATTTCTTTTGGCCTGCCATCAAGTTACACTCAGAATTAACATTAATTGGCAGCAATAGCAATATGACCTGTCGATGGCACGTTGGTCATTTCACCTGGAGAAAGTGACATCACTGCTGGCTAAAAATGAAGTGGTTAGGGCTGGGCGATGTGGCCAAAAATGTTATCACGATAAAAACATTTCATATCATTCGGCTGATTTTTTGCTCCTGACTGAAAAGTTGAAGAAACCAGATGGTTAATTATGTGGTTAAACTTAATGGTCAGAATGGAACAAACAGTGGATCGCTTAACAAATCTGAGGGAGTTAACATTCAAAACTATTGTGATTTAAAAAAAAAAAAAAAAATTGAACAAATCTGATTAGTAAATCTTTTTTCAGTCCCTTTTCCTCAACAAAATTTATATTTTTAATAGAAAAATGAAGTGCTAATTTGTTCGTGATTCAAATGAATTAAACCAAATATTTATTGACATATGATATATTGAACATTTATTGATATTGAGGAAAATTATATTGCGATCAGTACTGTTGCCCAGCCCTAATGTCACCTTAGCTAATCTGTGTAATATTTGCAGCACAGCAACACCTGCACGCTGAGGTAGACAAACGGTACAGTAAAGGCAGAATCAAATTCAGATCTGCTTTATTTTAGCCAACGCAGATCCATGAAAACATGTCCTGATCGAACCTCATGCTGAACTTCAGTGAACAGTATTTCACTGACACTGTTTATACTGCAAAATATGCTCAACTATTAAAGCTGGGTTTATTTATTCACAGATTTCACATATCCAATTGTCCATCCCTAAAAGGTCATGCTAAAACTCAAATTCTTGCAGTTGTAATGGCTCAGTTGTAAGTGTAGTGGTGTTGCTACTACTACTCAACTACTGAAAAGTAGTTCATTATGTGTAGCTAACTTCATCACCCCTGTTGTACTCCAAGCAGCTTAAAATTGGCCTCAGGAGTTATTTGCAAAATGCTGTTTGACCGAGATCGGATGACAATCAAATGTTAATCAAAATTAATTGCCATGTGTCCTCCAGTATTTGTAAATTACCTTCTCTTCTTTCTCTTTAGCATCACTTGAGAGTCAGCTAAGATGGCAGACATCGACAAGTAAGTACAGCGTCTACTAGTGCTACTCTGTATCAAATGCTTCTAACAAAAAAATACTCTCCCCTTTTGGTCTAATTGAGATCACGATTTATTTATCACGATAATCCATTGATTTTTACAAATTTTTATTGCACCTCTATTGTACTGTTTTCACATCCATGTTGTGCTGCACTTCTGCTAATGTACAAATCTGTGCATCAGATGACAAGCAAAGACTGGTCCTTAAAGTGCATCGTCTAGAAGAAGCTAACATTTTGTTGATCTGGTAATCAGTGCTTGCTTTTTGTGCTTCTATGTTTAAGTAGGCTATGTAGATAAATGGTTCTCTTTTTTTTGTTTTTTAACTGTTTTTTATGATTGGTATACACAGGGTGTTTAATTTTGAAAATCGACCGCGATCTCTCTATGCCGTTCTGTGCCTGACTTCCTGGCCAGGGGCAAGTTCAGCGCCAACAAAACTTAGCAAAACGTTTTTAGCAACGGAAACGGTGGTGCCTCAAACACCCCGTTGTGTATGCAAGCGCCATGCATTTGCCTGCCTTTTTAACACCGTTGCGTTTACAAACTTGTTGCACATTATTGGGTAACACCTGTGATATGCCCACCAAGCAGAAGAAAACATACCTCGAAGCATGAAATATGAAATCCGAAAATGTTGCGAACCGGTGCAAAATGATTTGAGATTGAACTTGTCCCAGTTTGATCTGCTCTGTGCAGCTTGATGCGGCTTCCGTCTAAAATAGATTGGGTATTCTTCGTGGAGCGGAGCCAAGTGCTTCATCTGGCACACCCTGCGTCTGACTCCCAAGCATTGACTAGAAGGGCCCGACGAGCTCTGGCAGCAGCGGACGCATGCGGACTTGTGGACTTCGCTGTCTACTCTGGACTGCATGCAGCCAAATTGCAGCAGAGTTTTCCATGAGCAGAGCACGCATTTTAAACGGCAACATTGCTGTCGGTCATGTTCATTTAATTATGGGAAGTTAACATCGTAATCGCGATCAATCTTCGATTAATTGTGCAGCTCTATATACAACATGATTAAACCCATAGAGGGCAGTGCAGCTGGCTCTCCTTTAATAAGCCCTAATTGGAAACATGTTGTTTACTAAGGCTAGGTTTGGTAGTTTGGGATGCCACGTCCGGGCTCAGGTTTCATTGTTGCTGTTTGACACACAACATAAAAGGCACCTCACAAAATCTGAGCGATGGATCTTCACATCGACTCTCACTTGTCACAAAACAGGGATGGATGCCGGCATGCACGCACTTGTCCACTGTTGGTCATTGATTTTCACCTTGTGCTGCAGACTGATGGGTGGGGGATTATAGGCCATGCTGGTAAAGCTGTGTGTTCAGTATTGAGCTCTCCTGCACTGCATCTTGAAGTAGGGTGTCATATTTCAGTGTTTTGGAACAGCATCGTGAAAAAGAAACCCTCCAGGGTTGATTACTGCTGGAGTTTAGCGCTATACTGGATCCCATGTTTTAAAACACAGAACTGTATGTTGTCTGGGCAGGGAATACGACTGAACTAAATTCTTCCTTCCCATCATCAAATGTGTTTTAGCAAGGCATGCAAATAGGACTGCAGCTTTAGTTTATTAGAGTGCTGCACTGTACCGATCATCCGTATGTTCATTCTTTGAAGCTTTAGGGGTGAATTTGTGAGTTTAATAATGTACTGATGTATTAAATAATTGATCATTTGTGAGATGATTTAAGACTCGAAGTGTTTTCAGTTTTGGTTTGCAGATGCTGGTAGGGTTGCCAAAGTCAGTTGCTTCCTCAACGTAAACGTGCCAGAAGTAGTTTGGTGGTTGGTGTTCATTCTGTGCACTGAAACAGTCTGAAGAGTCTGTGTTTTGGCTGACCTTCCCTTCTGCCTTCCTCCCCCTTTGTGTCTCCTCGAGCAGCAAAGACCAGGCTGAGATGGATCCGGCAGATATGGAGGACGTCGAAGAAGTGGAAGAGGAAGAGACGGGAGAAGATGAAAACAGCAAAGGTAAGCGTCTTAAAATGCAAAATTGTTGTCAATTTTGCAGTGGAGAATGCATAAATTACATGATTAAAATATTGAAGTTTTTAATCGTTTGGGTATATAAAAATGTATTTCCACTAGCAGAGTTGGTCTGAACCCCATGTGCTTCTGCCTGGTAGCTAAACCAAAGAGTAATTTGCATGACATGATTTTGAATTGTAGTTCAGAGCTGGGAGGCACTAATCTGTTTTATTTTGGTATGTCGATGCTGTTTATGCATCCTTTGATGCTCCATAAATGATTCAGACACATTATGATGTATTAGCCTACTCATACCTCATTGTGGACAGATATAGATGGCTGTTTGGCCTTGTCTATTTATAGCAAGTTTGAATAGTCTTTTAAAAGCTAGACTTGAAAGAAGGCACATTCTGGCTGCTTGCAACTGATCTGTCATAGCGACCACACTCAGGAGGCCTGCAAGCTGAGGGGAGATTAGAAATTAATGAGTAATACAGTTTTAGCTTGCCAGAGTTAACAGGCAGTGAAAACTTGTGCTAGGAAATGGCATATCACAAATTATTGCCCCATTTCCACTGCATGGTACCAGCTCGACTCGCCTTTTTTTGGTTTTCCATTGTGGAAAAGTTGTACCTGCTACCCAGGTACTTTTTTTTCGCGTCACCTCTGTCAAGGCTGCTGTGAGACATTCAACCTCAAAAGGGACCCACAATGCTCAGATCATGAGATTCGTGGAAGTGAATAATTAAAAAAAAAAAAAAAAAAAGGTGAAACTATGCCTGCTGCCCCCAGAGTGTAAATCGTACAGCAACCCCCATCCACATGTTTATTCAACATTGCAGATGGCGAATAGGGATGCATAAATGCTTTACCTACGGATGGGGCTGGTAATGGGGCAGTGGATACGGCACTTGCCTTTGGTGTGAGACCTGGGTTTGATTGCCATTGTGACACATCCACCAATGTGTCCCTGAGCAAGACCCTAAACCCCTAGTTGCTCCAGAGTAGTGCAATCTGACATATTTAGCAATTGTAAGTCGCTTTGGATAAAAGCGTCAGTGGAACTTAGCACCAACACTGACAGGGCGACTGGTATTATAGCCTTAGCCAGGTTAGTCAAGCTAACAGCAATGTCGCTGCCATCCAAATGATAAACCCAAATGAGAGGTCAGAGCTGGAGGATCCCCTCGTGAGATTTAGATCCTCTGTATGGGAGCATTACAGTTTAGTGACAAAGATGAGTCAAACTGTATGCTGCCATTGTTTATCTGAACCGGTATGTCTGTGGAAACACTTCAGACATGTCATTTACGACTGCATCACCCCAAATGTGTTGATTGGTGAAACGAGACAAATGGACTGGAAGGCGAGTCCTTCTCTCTACAGCATCCAGGCAACCTCTGACTGCAGACTTGGACCGTGGCAAAGGTATAACTAATGCCATTGGAAACTTTATGGATGCAGCTATGTGACTGTACTCGTCAGAATACAAAATTTATGTATATGGTCAAAGTGTTTGAGTCCTGCTACAATGTGTCTCGTGCATTTTAGTCAGTCCATTGTGCCTTCCCTGTATAAACAAGTGAAAGCTGCAGTTTGTTTATAATTAACAGATCAGTCTTAGGATGCGTTACTGACATTTGTTGTTGACAATAATCCAGTATTGAGTGTTGGAGTAAGAATTATGGCCATTGTTGAATGTTTACATTTTTCAAAATTAATGTTATTTTCTGCTTTGTTTTCTTTTGTTTTACTGCTGTACCGAGGAACATATCACACTGTGAATTTTGTGTACCGTTAGAACCCTACCGTCTACATTTACAGAGCATTGTTATTGTGTATCCTAAGGAAGTGATGGAAGGAAATGGACATTACACGCCTTGTCATATAAATATCCAACAGTCTTGAGGCTATTTTGTCATAACGTTGAGAAACAACTGGCTTGTGTAGAGCAGCACATCAGGAGTGTTATTCAATTATACTCCAATAAGTATCTGTAAGTATCAAATACTAAGCTCTGAAGGCTTTAACAGTCATAGGACAAAGTTTGACATTTCCTCAGTGATTGAAAAAAGCTGTTATGGTCAGTTAGATTTTAGTAGAGCAGTAGATTCAGATGTGATGGAGCATGATACAGTAGTGGTTAAAGAAGTTTCTATTGATGGGGGTGTGGCAAAGATAGATAGATTGAGGCACTTGTATCACCTCAAAAGGAACCTGGTCCTGTGGTGGCTGACATATCCACCAAAAGAGCTTTTTGTATCAAAGCATCCAGCCTGTGTTGTGCAGCTTGTGTTCTGTGAATTCCGACAAGCATAAGAGTGTAGTTATTTGACCGGATGTGGAGCCTTGGACGGCTTATCTGTGCTAGCTGGTAACGCATTACAAACAAAATGCCCAGGATGTGCCAAAGGAGAAAAGTGACTTCCAATCTCTTTAATCTTCTCACCTGCCAGCCGTGATCTAACTGAGCTTTGATAGGTACATCGTGTCGGACACTTAGATTGTACCATCTGTCGCCTGTGTGGTTGCACAGAGGGAGAGCACCATTTATTGCTGTCTGCTGCCTATTGTGTCTATGCAGCGCTGGCACTTTGCACGTTACTAACCAGTGTTTATTCAAAGTTTACCTTGTATACTTCAAGTCACACAACAGGCAACAGCAGGTATCAAACGTGTGACTGAGAGATGACGGAATGCTTTAAGCAGGAAACTGCTCTCGTACTCTGCTCCACCCTGCTTGCATACTGAAACACGCACACTTGCAATATACCTCAGTATGGCTCAGATATTGCAGGGAAGAATAAGTCAAACTGACTTGGAACAAATACAAAGAAACATGTGTGCAGCTGGGGATCCCTGCCCTGAACATGAACTTGCTTATTTGAGCAAAGCATTCATTTAATAAAACCTCCCACTTAGTCCAGTTTTTTTGTCTACAAAATGTGAGCAAAAGACCCTTTTCACACTCCTGAGTTGATTTAACTGCCTTTATATTGCACTTTTGACTGTATATGTGGGGTTTGTGTCCTCAGCTCGTCAGCTGACTGTGCAGATGATGCAGAATCCACAGATCCTGGCTGCACTACAGGAGAGGCTGGATGGTCTGAATGGCTCGCCGTCAGGGTACATGGAGAGGTGAGACATACAACAAAAGACTCACTAAACAATTGAACCAAACACAGCCAAGTTAGGTGCAGGCCAGGCCAATATGAGGAAAATCTTATCTGCTATGTGCAATAAAATAAAGGGGGGGTGGGAGCAGACACAGCAGGACAGAGGCTGCAGCTTGATGATAAATACTGTGGTCTTTAGCCTCCCGGACCAAGTTAATATCTTGTTTCAGTCCCCTTACCTAATTAAAACTAGTTTTCTCAGTTGTCGTGTTTCAGGCAGTGTTTCACGGTGTTTGTCACGCATGTACATATCGCGATGACAATGAAGATATGACTTATGGGACAGCACTAGTTGGGTGCCTGAAAGGCACCAGCCTTCAAAGAGGGGGGGAGAGGGAGAGAGAGAGAGAGAGAGCCATCTTGGAACCAAACCGGCTTTTATATAGGCTGCAGTCAAGTCAAAAAATCTCTGGCTGCTGCTTGGACTAGTCGGGAGAGAGTGTCGTTATATGACCCAGTAATAAGTAGAGTAGCTAATATTACTTTTTAAGGTGTAGGCCTATATGCTAAGTAACTAGTAGGTAATGGCTATAGGCCTATTATTTCTGAGTAACTTGCCTAACACTGACTATAAGGATCAGATAAATTAGGTATGTTTTGATCATTGCTTGTTAGAGGCTAGGCCTATCTAATGTCTGACGTTTTTTTGATCACTCATATAGCCTATATACACTTTCCTGTATGAATGGTTGCCTTTAAGTCCTTATCTTAAAGGTTTTGGCACGTTAGAAATTAATTTCTTGTGAATGGTTGTAACAGGGTTTATAAGGCTTTTCAGACAGCTTTGATCTGCAAGGTCGCTCTGCGCTCCTCAACAGACAGGCAAACAAGCACTCCGCGGTAACCATGGCAACGACTTCTGTGTAACTGGCGCAATCAAATGAAACTGTCCCGGTGCTTCTCGTCTCGCGCACATGCCCGCTGCCAGAGTCAAGATGTCAAACTTTTTCCTACAGTTTATCAACAGAGTGATGTGGCGGTTTTTGATCTGAGTTTCCTGAATAATAACTGTTTCTTTAACAGTTAGGCCACCAGGTCTTAAACAGGCAATGACCTTTGCTGCTGTCTCATTCATTAAAAAGAATCTATCTGTCTCAGTATATTGTCCTGCTTTTTGCCCTTTGCCGATCACATGCCTGTCAAGTATCATAATATGCGTTTGTATTGCAGAGATTTTGCTAAATGTGGTCAATGGATTTTATCGATAAGTTTGACAACGTGCGTTGCTTTAAATGTTGCTGTCGCAAGGACTTGTAGGACGGCATTATCTTTTTTTCGTAAAGGATGGTCCGGTGCACCTTCTGCTAAAGGAGATAAGAAAGGAAGCATTGAGGCACCTTTCCTTAGCTTTTATTCAGCCAGCTCTTATCATGACTGCCACTGAAATACTACTTGTTCACTTCACTCAGTTAGGAACCGTCATAAGCAAAAAATACTTCTCGACCGCAGCCATAGATTCCCAGCAGGTGAGGCCAGTCCCTCAATGATGGGCCAAGGGCCACCGCAGAGTGCAGTGATGTTGAGCGTCTGTAAGGACTAAAGCAGGGAAGATGCTTTTAAAGTTGTGTAGTTGCAGTTGGCTACACAACATCTGATATAAAACCTTTTAAGGGAAAGGCTGCTAAACACTTGATCAAAACTAAAGTATTTTTTTTCCATCATAATATTCAAGTTGTCATTACATTGTAAAACATAAAATCGAGCTAGATTTGTTTTTCATCTAAAATGTCCTCAGTACCTTGCACAGCGGGTGTTTTTAACCACTCTATTGAATCCCCTTGCTGTGGCCCATCAGTCGTAGGTTGTAATTTACTCACAATTGGATGGTAGGTGGATGTTTTTGCCACTCCAAATGCATCTTTACATGCTAATTAGTTTTTTAAGTAGTGATTGCGGTTTGTTGAGCAGCGATGCTTTTATGCAAATCAAGCTCAAGTGAAGTTCAGTCATTTATGTTTAGCAGCAATTTTCAAGTAAGAGACTAAATCCACAGGTGAGGATACATTAAGTAGCATTCAAAGTAGCCTTCAACCTGCCACTGAATGGCTGAGCCCATACAGAGGCTACAGTTAGATTTCATTGTGCTGCTACTCGGCTCTTCACATGAGAATGTCAAGTCTCGGCTCATGTTAGGTCAATTACTAACCATCTCAGTAGCTGAGAAGCAAAAGGAGAAATTGGAGTTTCATAGTCTTCACTCACTGTAAGTAGCTGAACAGGCAGCCACTCAACGGTGTATGAGACACGTATGACGTCTCAAAGATACCAGCCAGTGTGTCAGGTGACGAGTCAATTTATCTGCCGAATTGTGTCTGCATTGGGCGTGCAGCAGGTGGGAAATCCAGACTGTGTCCTAATAAGTGATAAACAATTTTGCCCCCATAAAAACATAATGCACGACTACAGACCTAAAAATCTGCAAACACGCTACTGTATAAACTGTATAATATTTACTTGAGTGGATGAATACTACTTTATTTTGTGACTGAGTGTTTTAATTGTTAAATTGGCGGGGGGAGTCCAGCAGGTGCTGAATACTTAATGGGCAATAGTCATATGGTTGTCCTGCTCATGGATGAACTAAGTGCTCCAGTTCAATGACTAAAATGTAGGAACTGAGGTACAGTCAGTGATGGTAGCCTCTGAGATGCTGTGTGAATGTAGTTGTGTGTCTGGGCTGTACCACCCACTGGTCCTCATCTCAGTAAAAACATCAGCAAGCAGCTCTTTGATCAGCTTGTCTAGTATTTGGCAGTCACCAACAAACTCACCAGTTAAAACATCCCAGCATTTGGGACCAAACATGCGTCCCCTTGCCAGGATAGTGCAGGGGTTCTGATTTACCACACTGCAGAGAAACTTTGCAGGCTCACTACAGCTCTCAAAGCAGGTGACTGCTCAAGAATAATTCTGATCAAGGCTTTAACCCCACCAAACCTGTCTGAGGCCCCAGACAAAGAAATTTGATTTAATTTTAATCTTTTATCAACACAACAAAATGTACAAAATTAATTAAAGCTATCTTAAACTTGTTCATTTTTAAACTAGATCCCAGCCTGCAGTAACACTAATGGCATCAAATCTTTAGTTATTCAGCCTCTGATTTTGTTTTTGTCCTGTGTAGTATTGATAATGGATAAGTGCAATTTCAAGTGCAAGCAAGAACAGAACTAATTTTCAAAACAACTACTGATAGAAAGGTAAGGGACAAAATCACCAAGTGATTAAGATCTACAATGTAACCACTGTAGTCGGTACAAAATTAGTAAAATAAAAAAGACATGGGTTCCCTTTTCTAATTCTGCTGCAATTTCTTCCATTGTTTGTGGAGCAGAATAGTTTAATAGTTTGGTTTTGAAATGAATTGTCCTGAACAGCACAATTTTGTAAAGCATATACTGTAAGATGTATACAGGCATTATGTAACGGACGCGCCCTGTACATCCGTTACATAATGCCTGTTGTCACAAGTGATCCATTACAAGTCAGCTGAATATAATACATTTAATACTAGGGCTGTCGCGGTGGAGTAATATCCCCCGCGTTAATATGTTGGGGCTCAACAGCACGGTATTGTCGCATTTTTCATCAATGAAGTAATTTGGTGCCATATAGCATAGTGTCTGTGGATCTCACCTCACTGCGCAAGCTAGCTGCTGGGTGCTTGCAAAGTCCTTTTAGGCAAGTCATGCCACTCGGCCACCATCTTGCCAACGCCTCTGGGCAGTTATTTCTAACAAGACCAGGCTCCAATCTGAATGAATGGTGAGAGCCAGAACTGCACTTTTACTGGTCACCGGGACATAAAAACTACATGAATAGAATCAGCAGTAAAATCTTAACAAATCGCTGAGAAAGTAAAATAAGGTTTAAAGTGTTTTTCCTGAATGGTTATCCTTTTGCAATGCATGCATCACCACTTCCACGCATGCGCAGTAGAAGTAAAACTGCCAAGCAAAAGTACTTCTTAAACGATGCATCGATGAAATGATCTGTAGGAGCTTCGAGTACTAAAATCATAAAATTCCTCAAGCATAAACCAATAAATCTGTGTACAAGTAAGATGTAATTTATTCACACTGCTGTTACATGAAGCACATCTCAATAAAACCTGTTCTTGGGAGAGTTTCAGTTTATTTACAGTGTGCCTGGAAGACCACCCCAAATTATTGGAGATCCTCTGGGGAGAGTTCTGCTCTAAAGCTCCCAGCACTTTCACTTCTGAGGCAGGGCCCTCTCGGGTACCATGTGCTCCCTATTTGGCACACTTCGTCCTGTGTTTAACTTTATAGGAGGCTTGGAAGCAAAGCTACTACGTGATTACAAAATAACTAATGTAGTTTTTCGATCTCAGATTTTATAAAGTTGGGGAAGTTACATTTTCACTGTTAATCTTTCATTACACATAGGCTTGAAATACACACATGCACATAGATGTGCATTAATTGTTGAGAGACGGTGTCGACCATAGTCTAGCCAGCCACCCTCATGTTCACAAGCCAAGCCCCTACCTGAAATTGTGTGCATTTTCACTGTGTTGTTGAAGATTAGACTCGTGTTTGTTTGGCATAATTACCCACAAGTGTGATAATTGTAGCTATTTGCAGTGAAAGAGCACAGAGAAATAAACAATTTTTTCCAAGATTGTACTCATCTTCTGTGTTCATGTCTGTCATCCCACAGTTTACCAAAGGTTGTAAAGAGACGCGTAAACGCCCTCAAGAACCTGCAGGTCAAATGTGCCCACATTGAGGCTAAGTTCTACGAAGAAGTACATGAACTGGAGAGAAAGTACGCAGCCCTCTACCAGCCCCTCTTTGACAAAGTAAGTAATTTATACATCGTTTCAGGTTGTGCCTTTCAGTACTTCTACTGGATTTCTGCAGCTTTACTGTTTCGTGCTCCTTTTTAATATAGAATCATATTTCTATGTTTGGGATGGCTGAAATACTTCTGTTACGTGTATGTACGGTGTTTTTCTAAATACTGTTAACACCCCTCAAAGCATAAACTAAAAGGCTAGAATCACAGCATGGGTTATCATGAACCTTATGTTTGGGGTGTGTGTAACTGTGTTAGAGTAACTGGATCAGAAATCATGAGGCAGATGGATGCATTGTCAGATGCATAACTTGTCGTCGATGCGTTCTTGCACAGCATCTGTTTATGCTGATCTGTACTGCTATACATCCAATCAAAACTGCTCACACATCCTGTCCTATCTTTTGATTTTCAAAGCAGCTGAGTCATGCTGGACGATTTCACCTAAAATCAAAATCTATTTATTGAACATTTTACCCCGATTATTGAACACTTGTTTTGTTTTTGAATGTTTTTTGCCCTTACAGTTCACTGAAAGGGTTTGTACTGTAAATATCAATTATTAAAGCTGGGCTTAATTAATTTTTTGATTCACAGAATTTGAAAATCTATTATCTAAATGTTGATAAGGTAATTTTGACATCCACATTATGGAGACATGGTTCCCCTGTATTCTGTATGTAGAATTATGACTGCTGCTACTAAAATTTAACTCAATAATTAATGTCAGTGCGGCCCCGAACACTGTCCGAGCATGGCAACACACACTTTGCGCGCTTCCTCTCTTCATTCGTCAAAGAACATCAAAGTTGCGTGACAACTGCTGTTATAAGCGTAACGGAGTTAATGTTAAGTATTTTAAGGAGTGCTGTGTGTGTGTGTGTGTGTGTGTATTCATAGCGAGTGAGTGCTGGCACGAATGAGAGCGAGCGGCAGAAAGTGACAGAAAAACCAAGCAAGCTTGTTTTCAGTCTTTAATAAAATGGATGTCTGTTTCGTCGACTGCTGGAAAGTGAAAGCGGTTAGCTCTAGCTGACTCCGGGCTGGAAGCTCAGCAGGACTGGATGGGGCGGAGTCACATGACCACACACAGTTGTATGTTTTTCCGGGGAAAGTACATGAACACACACTGTGGGGTGGGGATAGATAAACAACAACCGATATGGTAAAATTACATCTGTTAGAGGCTCTGAATTTCATTCTGAATTTCAATTAAATTAATTGTCCAGACCTACAGCTGAGGCAGTTCAACACAGTCCATTTTAAAGCTTAGATATAAATAAACGGGTTGTTCTGGTTGTCTTTGTAAAGCAAACTAAATAAAATAAAACTAAATATAAATGCTATTGTAGAAGCTATAGCATTTTATTTACAATTTAGCGCTGTAACTCTCTGCCCCAAAAGCAGAAAGTCTTTGCTGGAAACATTTGATAAGCTGGAACCAGATGATATTTGCCGGTTTTGCTGAATTAACATTATAACTTACTGCAGATACTTGTGTGTTTTGATTATCATAGTTGATCGACAAATTGTAACAAATAGACATTTGATGGGGACAGCCGGTACAAGCATTTAACTTGGAATCGTTTTCTCCTGTTCTTTGCAGAGAAGTGACATAGTGAAAGCAGCTTATGAGCCCACAGATGAAGAATGTGAATGGAAGACGGATGAGGAGGAAGAGCTGACAGTAAGTAAGCAGGTACAGGTGACGTATACACCTGCATGCTTCCTGTCTGACTGAAACTTTGGTTTCTGCTTTTTTTTCCTGCTTTTTTTGCGTCTCATTTTACATTTCATGTACGCAACTTAGTCTCATCCAGAACAGAATAAGCTTTACTTAACAGAATGGTTGCAGTGCATGCTGCTAATAAGGGACTTAAATAAGAGTTACGTTTTTCAGCGTTATCACTGATTTCAGCTGGTTGCATGGCAAAGCAGTAATACAGTTGATGAATCTGTGGATTTTTTTTTTAAGCATTAAATGGAGCTAGTTTCTTTGTCTGTTAAGTGTTGCCTTTGTGGGTGTAGCTCTGTTTTGATATAGGAAAAGAAAAATGGTGATGTGTTTTGAAGAGAAAATGTCTGTCTCCTTCAACCAGGATGAGATGAAGGAGAAGGCCAAGTTAGAGGAAGAGAAGAAGGACGAGGAGAAAGAAGACCCCAAAGGCATCCCCGAGTTCTGGTTAACGGTTTTCAAAAACGTGGACCTGCTCAGTGACATGCTGCAGGTGGGTTCATCCAGACAGCTGCCATGGAGGCAGTGAAAATGGGTCAGATGTTATTTGCTTCCAGCAATGAAAAATCAAGGTTTGCTTCCACCTGCTGGCCAAGTTGTGTAGTGCATGGATTTGTGGTGTGATGTATGACAATAATAAAACTGAAGTACATGCTGGACGATCTTCTAAATACTGTGGGGCTTTCTCTCCTCCACAGGAACACGATGAACCCATTCTCAAACACTTACAAGACATTAAAGTAAAATTCTCAGATCCAGGACAGCCCATGGTGAGTGAGAATAACACTCGTTCAATGGCTGAAACATGTCCATTAACTTTGATTTGTCTAGTAACCGCAGTCTCATTTGGTCTTCCCCAGAGCTTCACGTTAGAGTTCCACTTCGAGCCCAACGACTTCTTCACAAACACAGTGTTGACGAAAACCTACAAGATGAGGTCAGAGCCGGACGAGAGCGACCCTTTCTCCTTCGATGGACCCGAGATCATGTGCTGCACAGGGTACAGTGCCTCATTTTTTTGTTCAGTTTTGTTTTAAATTTAGGTGTACAAGTCATAAATATGTTGCCGTATTGTGTGGTGTTTTTCTAGTATCTAGAGCCAACTAGCAGTTTTCTTTTTGCAGTTGGACAGTTGTGACATTAATATTAGACAAATTTGCAATGTAATGTTCTTAGTTTATAGTAAAGATGAGAGTAATTGTGTCATACAGGGGTGGAAATTAGCACCCGCCAAATGCAGGTGGATTTTCTGTTTGGCGGCTAAATGTGGCGGATAGTCTTCCAACATTTATCCGCCACAGTGGCGATCTTGACATATAATATCTGTTTGACGGTAACTAACAGCAGTTGTTGTGTGTGTCGCACTTAAATTGGTCAATGATAATAATAATTTGTAGAGCACTTTTCAAAAACAAGTTACAAAGTGTAAAGACAATAATACCCAAAAGACAATAATACAAAAACAACACAAGATAAAAGCATGAAAACATTGAAAAGACTAAAATACACTTAAGATAAATATAAAGTCAAATAAGATCGGGAAAGGCTCTCCTATTAAAGTATGTTTTAAGAAGTGACTTCAGAGTTCACTGACTCAGCTGACCTGATATCCTCGGGCAGGCTGTTCCATAGCCTCGCGGAGCTTTGTTGTGATCAGTAGCGTTGATCGCGTTTTTACGGTCATCTAGCTTAAAATCCTTAACCCACATAAAACTTAAGTTAAAAAAGTTAAATAAAAAGGATATAAAAAATGTAACGAAAAATTGTGGATTAAAACTGGATAAGAGTCCGGTTTAAGACGGAGCTTCCGACAGGTAGCTACAGACGCCAATGCATGCGCAGAGTGCAGATTACGTCAGCGATCTTGTGTACCAAGGGATCTAAAATCGTAATTCACTGATTAGGAGGTTTCATTGGTGGTGGTTTTATGTTCATTTCACGTTACTTGTATTTGATTAACATAGATTTAAAGGGGGTGGGCGTTAGTGGACAGGATTCGGGAGGTAAAGAGGAGAAAGTGTAGCCGCTTTCATACAGAGATCAATCATAGATCAACGCGGGAAGAATATCTGCTAATTCATAACAAAAAAGGTTTGTAGCAGTATCCCGCAACCATGTGTGCTTTCACATAGCGGTTTGGCTTTAGCGGAACCAGCAGTGTGTAAAGTGACTGTTACGTCGATAGGGTTACGTCTGGCATGCGGACTGTGGCTTTTCACAGAGATCGGTCCGTCTCATCTGTCACCAACTCTCCCTGCTCAGAGGCGGATCAAATTGGACCCCCTCTCCTGCTCTGTACCTTTCATACAGTGCAGTGAGCTGGCAGATTGGCTCAATACCCCCGTGAAATAAGGCAGCATGAAAGCTGCTAGTGTTGGGAGCTAATTAAAACGTTGTATTTGGAGTGTTTTTAGCTTTTAGTTGGCTAGCCACCAGCGTAATGTGGTGACATTTAACGTTACCACCAAACAAAAAACGGACGAGGCTGAAGCAGAACATAAAAAAATAAATAAAGTTGGTGGTCGTCCACTCAGTGTCTGACACACAATCAGATCTTCTAACGGTCCTGCTGTCCTCCCAGAGATCAAGAAGTATAATCCATAGGCTGTATTTAAAAAAAAAAAAAAAAAAAAAAAGTTGATCCCACAAAAGCTGTGATGCTGTGGCACCATTTTTTTTTTAAAAAGTTTGTATTCAACATAATACCTTTTTTATTATCTCAAATAAAAGGACTGAAACAAATGTGACACAAAGGCAATTTATTATTTTGGCCAGTAGATTTTTTTTCTTCTACCAGCAATCTTAGCAGGTGAGCCAAAAAGTTAACTTCCACCCTTGGTGTCATAGTGCCAAAGTTCATTGTACTCCTTTATAATGTCAGTGACATTTTGACTCCACCTCAACAGCCAACTTGACCTGTACCAGCCATTTCTCTCTATCTCTAATCTCTCTGCCTCCTTTTCTCTCTCAATCATTTTTAAATGGATATCACTGACCACAGCAACTAGATTCCAACTAGACACACGGTCAAAGATTTGACATTTAAAATGTTGGATGCTGACCTTGCTTTCTTTGCTGCTGCTGCCGCTTCCTGCACTTGTGTTCACCCTAGTTGCACGATTGACTGGACGAAGGGCAAGAACGTCACGTTGAAAACAATCAAGAAGAAACAGAAGCACAAGGGCCGCGGCACAGTGAGGACTGTCACCAAAACAGTCCCCAACGACTCCTTCTTCAACTTCTTCACCCCACCAGAGGGTAAGGCTGACGGGGCAGAAACATAAAACTTATACCGGGGGTCAGTCATACATAGCCAGTTGTTTCACCTTTTTCAAAAATGATCAGTAGGATTGATTGATTGCATGGTTAAACTAACTTCAACTATCTCCCTTTGTTTACAGTCCCTGAAAATGGAGAGTTGGTAAGTCAGTGTACTTCCTCTACATGAGTTATTCATCAAAATGATTTTTTCCCCTAATTGCCATGTATCATTGTCAGCTACAATGTCTCACTGTTTTTTCTTAATAGCTATGGCTATAAAGTTTTACTAGTCACATTTTGTCTGACTGACATTTAATTAACTAGCACTTTGAGCGGCTTAATGGACAAGTGTGTGATGTGTATCTTTAACAAATCCCAGGAAAAAGACCAAACGGGGGGTGTGTGGCCGGCCTGATGTCTTTTCTTCTATGCCATACAGCTCAACTGTTGTCCAAGAACTACTTAACCCGCATCAGTGTCTTTCATTACCATGAACACACACTGTAGTTCATTTTGACTCAATCCCACACACAGCATCCTGCTCCCCCAATACTCACTAGAGCACCAAATGTGGATTAATCTGCTCCTGGAAATGGGCCCCAATGATGCACTGTTTGCTCCTGTTGTTTGAGTTTCTGAAAAACTACTGTTGAGCTGTTTTTAGGAAGATACATTAGCATAAAACTTGATTTATGTGAGGGCCCGGGGCTTAATGCCACAGAGTATGGAAATCAAAGTATTGTGAGAAGTGCTAATATTTAATTTATTTGACCTTTTTTTTTTTTTTTTGACAAACACTAAATACTACCGTTCTCATTTTCCAAAGGAGACCATAGGGTTGGGATTAGTATCAGATGTGCTAATTAATAGATTTGTCTTTCAAATGCCTCATTGAATCGGTTTAATTTTAGCATTTAACTGCTTAAAGCAACAAAAGCCATAAAAGCACTTGTTTGAGAAGCAAAACTCTCCATTCCAAACACATTTTACCAGGTAGTGTACTACAAATTCGGTGTTGGCTAAATGATTGAGTGTTTTGTACTTTGCTCTCTGCTATTAAAACAATGGAGATTTTTTTTAGAACCTGAGCAAAATGCTGAACAAATGAGGGTATCTGACAAACTTAGGGTTAGGTCACAGTAGGATGTTTCACCTTGGCCCTGATTCTAAGAACAGCCTGGAATGCTTTCTCTAAGAACGTAAACTGAAAATGCATGTCTGTCTGCAGGATGAAGACTCAGAGGCGGTCTTGGCTGCAGACTTTGAAATTGGCCACTTCATCCGTGAGCGTATCGTACCACGGGCTGTGCTGTACTTCACAGGAGAGGCCATAGAGGACGATGACGATGACGTGAGTTTAATCTCAAGTTTGGCATCTGCTTTAGTTTGGCTTCACTAGGCCATACTGGAATGAAAACATGCCACCATTATAGAAGTGTTGCAATGTTGTTCTTGATTGCTGCTGCGTTGTGGCTTTGTCAAGGGAACACATGAGGTGAAAAAATAAGCTTTGCTCTCTTTCCAGCTGTAAGGAATGTTCTGTTAATGGTTTGGGAGGCACATTATTTGTTAATAATCATTTAGCTTTGTAGTAACTAGGATAATTATCAACTGTTCATGTGACAGTTAATCTGTCTGGGGAACAACATTAAGCTAGGTTAAGCTAGACTCTGATCAGATGGTTTTCTAGCTAATCCTCACGTTTGTGTTTTTAACAGTACGATGAAGAGGGAGAGGAGGCGGACGATGAGGTAAGGGCCACAGTAAATGAATGAAAATGATTAACCTCAGCATCCAAGAGAGATGTGGTTATAGTGATAGACATGGATGACCCAGCAGTCTGAAGTTGCTCTGCTCTGTGCTGTGTGTTCAGGAAGGCGAGGAGGAGGCTGATGAGGAGAACGACCCCGACTATGATCCCAAGGTGAGCTCACCCCTCCACACGCGTGCACCCCCCCCCCCCCCCCCCTCTCTAAAGATCTCTGGTGTCTGAGAGAGACCTTACTCAGCTGTTCTCAACTTTGTTGGCTCAGGATGCTGTCTCAAAAGTAAAGCAGCTCTTACTGGAGGCCAGCAAAGGCTGCAGTGATCTCTCAGAACCTTCCACAGTTCATGAGTGAATGTTAAATGTTAGTGAGAAACTTTTTGCTTTACACCGCCTGCTGCCCTGGGGGGGGGGGGTCCTGAGCTGCAGGTAGAGAATGGCTGTCTTAACTTGACTTGTCAGATTTCAACATACAGGACAAATACTGTCAAATGCATGTCATTTTACACCAGCTTTTGGTTTGCTTCAGCTTTTATTTTGGTGTGTGATTCTTGATTTGGCTTACAAATACAAACCCACTTCCTGTAGGTATACAGCATTTCTTTTTACAGTTGTCTTAACCTGATCCTGAACCTGTGTTTTCAGAATAACCTTTCACCAGTCAGTTAAATCTGACTGCTGCATGTGGTTACTAAAACGAGAGCCTTAACCTTGAGCAACACACAGATCTACTATGCCTTAAACCAGTGAAATGGTATTCATTCTAATATATTTCTGTTGGCCTTATCTAAATGCATTATTTGTGCAGGAAACTGGTACGATAAAGTTGAATGAAAGCACACACAGTAAAGTGCAAACATGCAGAGGTTTGTTATAATTCCACTGAGAAATAAATAACGGGTCCCCTCCTGTAGGCTCTGTTTGTTCACTGATTTTTCTGCTTCACTGCCTCCCTGATGGAGGAAATGTAGCTGAAGAATTATGACTAAAGAGGGTAGAGGAGAAAGGCTGCGTAAGCTCAAAGGAAGGGCAAGCAACAACTAAGACATGTATATCTCTTGATGATGTAAGAAAGTGTAGCATCACAGGTTTTGTAGTTGCACAGTTTGTGCACATATACTGATTTAGGGATTTTGAGGGTTAGCTGATTGATTTGGCCTGAGGTTAGTTTTTTTTCTCCCAAACTGGAGCAGCTTGTAAGTTTGACACTACACGATATAAACCAGCATGACCTCTGCTTCTTTGCTAAACAAAAAATGTCTTTGACATTCTGTATTCTGCTAGTTTTGCTTTTTATTTTTCTCCTATTCATTAATGTTTCTTCATCTCCAGTCACTTTGGCATCTTTTGTCAGCTACTCTTTAAATTTTTCCTCACTAGGTTTAAGTGGTGACTGTAGAAAAATAACCCTATCCTGGTAGGTACAGCTTGTGAATTCAGCTTACTACCATCACACCCCGCCCTCACAGTTTTGGCTTTTGCTTTCCTTTTCCTCCCATTCTTCCGTCCTCCATCCACCCCCCTCTGCACCCCCCCACCCCACACATGAGCACCCTCCTCTGCCGCCTGCTGCACCCTCCTGAGTTACTAACCCACTGGTGTGTTGTTGTTTTTGAAGTTTAACCCATAGTGAGTTCTGCATTTGCACCTGTATTATTTCTGTATGTTGAAGCTAGTCTAGCCCTCCCTTTCCTTTTTTCTCCACCATGTTGATCTTGTCCCGTCCACAAACACAGGCTACTGTTTGTCTTTTCCTTTTCTGTCGGGGTGAGGATTTGTTTGTCATGAATATTGTGCTTTTTGTTTATGGATGTTTTGTTTTTAATACCCATTTATACCTCATTGGCCCATTTGTCCATAGTTTTATTCTCGTTCCTGTTCACGTTAGTTCTGTTCAGCTGCCTTTTCTCTATACCTGTGCTGTTAATGCTTGAATAATGGCCTTGGGTGGGGGGGGGGTGGGGGTGCTTGCGTTTGAAATAAGGCCTAACCAATAGTTGGAACTTGGCAGATACCCAAATTGCAAGAAACGCCAACAAAGTGTTTTATCTCCCTGGGGGTGCCATCATTGTCAGCAATAACAGCCTGTTTTCTATTTTCATTAGAAGCTTGATTGCTTGCAGAAGATAAAAACATGTCTATCAAAATATGTTGCATCATAGTCTGCAGTAGAAGCAGAGCTGTTGCCTTAGACATTTTGGTGAAAATACAGCGCACTGTAAACTATTTTTGGACTCTAAAGTGTCAAGAGTTCAGCGGCTGCCAACTGTATCGCCCAAATGACCTTACACTGAGTCAGTATGGCATCAGGCCATCGAACCTGAACAGCTGCAGCGTGCCATCACCTCTAGATGTGTGTAATGTCTGCTGGAAGGACGCCCTACCCCGATTATGATGGGGACTTTAATTACCTTCCTGTGCACTTCTCATCCCTTATTTACTCAAGTGATTCCTTTTGTTTTTGGCAGCTAATTGATTTTGAGCACAGTGGCAAAAACCCTTCAAACAGGATGCTCAGTTTGAAGGGTTTTTACATTTGTTGTCCTGTAGCAGCAACACCACAATTGGCACCTTTTAGCAGACGTCTCGTTTCCAAATTTGCAGTTGTCTCCTCAAGTATACTGAACGGTTTACAAAAAACCAGGCATTTTATTAGTAGTTTTAATGTTCTTAATCTGACGTTTGTGGTAATTAAAACCAGTTTGTGGTTTCCTGGTGATTATGTGTTTGTGTACAGATTAAACAAATGAGTTACAGCATGTTAAGAGCTGTCAAGGTCCTGGTGAGCTGATTGTTACCTTTTTGATAAAGCCAGACTGTTTTGTTCGGTAAAGGCTCTCCTGTTTTAAGCTTGGCTTAGCGAGCGTGGTATCAATCTGCTTATTTAACTCTGCTTAAAATGCATTTCCCTTTAACTGTTTATTGATATGTCCTGGTTTGAATCCAACCTAGGACCGTGTCAGGGCCCCTCCCCCCTTCTCCATCCTAGTCCTTTGTTTCTTAATACTGTGATCTAAAAAAAAAAAATAATAAAGTATTTTCCCCTAAAGAATCTTTGTACCACAGCGTAGGGGTCATTATCGTGGATCTCTTGGGACGGTGACAATCCGAAACATTTTTGTAATCATTGCATTCATTAGGATGCCACTGCGATAACCGTGTTTGTCATGGTGTCTAATCTGGATGTGTCCTGGTCCCCAAGTTCATATCTGTGCGTTGTGTTCAGAATAGTAGGGAGATGAGAAATGTTTGTGAAATTTAGAAGTCCTAGCAGCGTGTTGAATTAATGTTTTAAGTGTTGAAATGGCTTTGCCGTGTGTAGATAGTTTTTTTTTTTTTTTTTTTTTTTTGTGGTGTGTGTTGGAGCAGTTTTTGTCTTAACAACCGCCCCCCCCCCTCCACCCCTGTGATTTCTTACAGAAGGATGCAGCCCCCCCAGCTGAGTGCAAGCAGCAGTGAAGCCTGGCCTGGCTGCCTTGAGGATCAACTGCACTGTAATGGCTTCTCAAATTAAAAAAACAAACAAAAAAAACAGATTAAAAAAAATAGTTACTTAACGCCTTATAATGTTTTGTATTTTTCTTGGTAGAGAATTTGAAGAAAAAAAGTTTCAAGATTTTTGTTACAAAAACTCATGGTAATCTACTGGGAGGAGCTGTGTGGCTCAATATACATAGTATTTTACTAGACCGGTTTTTTTTCTTCTCTTCTTCCTCCTCTGTACAATAGATAGAATACAGGAAAACATCTCCCTCAAAAAGCATGAACTTGTTTCTTCACTGCTAAAACTAGTTTGGGTTCTTGTGAAGTCTTTTGTTGTATTTGCTCTTAGACAACAGCTGTGGTTTAGACTGCATCGCGGCGACGTCAGTTTATAATCCCCGCCCTTCTCTTTCCTCTTCCTCCTACCAAAGTTCCAGGTTGGTCAGTGTTGGTTGTCCCCAGGTGAATCTTTTTTTACTCTTAGCAGGACCTTGAGCACTTGTAAAAGCACTGTAGCATTTCCAGCTCTTGTGACCGAGGGCCGATGGGTGACCTGCAACGGGTGTCTATTCCACTTTATCTAATCTTGCTGAGCGTGGCATCCGGAGTTCGTGTTTTTGTCCACTTCCTGCGCCACTTGTGCTCATCTACTTTCCACTCTTGATACATTCCAGTAAGCAGACTAGCTGGCACCGTTGGAGGCCCCCCCCCCCCTTCCAAAAGGAAGTCCACTTGTCTTTAACTAGATGGACTCATCTAAATTGAACAAAAATGAATTTTGTTTCACCTTTGTGACGCAATAGGTCGCTCCCATGGCTTTGTCTAGCCTGGTCGAGTCTCTTTAACATTCCAGAGAATTCTTTAGATGCGGAAGGGGATGAGACAAGTTGACAGGTTTGCCCCCCCCCCCCCCCCCCCCAGCCCCAATAACCCAGTGCTTCGGGCTCCTCGTAGGCTCGCAGGGCTGTCGTCTTTTCTATAGCACTTTGTCCTAGAGTGTGGTGTACCAGTGGCGTCCTGTCATCGGTTAGCTGTCTTGAGTATTCCTAGTGATCAGCACTTTGTTTGATGCCTCCCGCCTGTACACTCATGGGGGCCGGTGCTGTAACCTTGATATATGGAGAGTTCAACTTGTGCTGTCTGGGTTCGAAGTAACTTTTCTTACCGGGGGGGGGCGGAGGCGGCACACTTGGCCTGTTCAGAGAGGCTTTGTAGGAACAGGGTTGGGCAGACGTAGCACAGCACATGACAAGGAAAGGCCAAACCAGGTTTTAGAGTCTGTGGACATGTCAGGTTCACCCTATGCCCCCTTTTCTCATCAGTTTGACGTTTACCTCTTGTGTTGCCTATTTGAGACTGGTCAGGTGACTCTCACGGACCTCAACCCAGCCCCTGAGGTCTTGGTTATTATTTTTTTTATCACTGTGAAAGAAAGAGGGGAAGTGTGATAAGGCCATTGTGTTTGTCAGTGACCCACCACCCTCCTCCCTACCCCAAACCCATTCCTTTGTTACCCAGAAGGCCACAGGGAAGCATGTCAGAGCAATACTTAAAGCCAGAAGGGGGACCGAGAAGAAACCGTAGCCTCTCTGTCTATTAATGCCTTTTTAGTTGTGAAAACAGCAAAGTGTTGGTTGCGTTAGGCAGCATCGCATCTACTGTGGAGAGCCAGGGTACCTCTCATTCTGCAGGGAGTATTCAGATCATGTTTATTGGGAAAGGATGTGAAAGGGTTTCTGTAGGGTCCTTCTGAGCAGCTGTTGTCAAGGCAAAACGCTATGCTACAAAAATACTAATGTACTCAATAACTGTACGTGTATGTTCATGAATAAATTGGTTCAACATGTCTAATATGGTTAAGTGTTTATTTTTTTATTAAATTTGTGTTCTTGGAATAATTTTTTGCATCACACAAATTAATTTTCTTATTACAACTAAACGCGTGTATTCCTCCATCATATTTATTTATACAAATTAAACAATACAAGCTGCTGATCCATGGACCGGTAGTTCAGACCATTTTATTTGGCCAACAAGACGCCAGTAGAGGGCGCCATTGCTGTGAGATTGTACAATAAACTTGACCTCCCACAGGGAATATGGTTTGTAATAACTAATTGATAATAAATGACCACATCGAATACCATCTTAACCCCGAGAGAACAGTTATATAGACTTTACCCTAGAGAGGGCAGTAACTGATACTAATTAAAAGTGGAATGACTTCAAACGCACTACAGCTCAGATGGTAGCTGTTAAGATCGCCTGAGGAGAGACTTGATCGGTTTGCCTGGTAAAAGTTAAAACGCCTCAACCATAGTACAGACAAGGCTGTTCATACACATGCAGGTGATCATAATAAAACACTAGATAATGTAGCGGGAACTGATGCCACGCTACTAGGGGCGGAAGAAGCATTCAGATCGTTAATTTAAAAAATGTAAAATACCATTAACGACCTGCACTCAAAATTATACTTAAGGAAAACATGAATTATCAAACGACTGGATTACTCCACATACACTAACGTTTAGAAACAACCAAGGTGCAAACTAGGAATACTTTGCAAATCACTTATTTGAATTATAGTAATAAAGTACTTGCAGAATTTGGAACGTGCTCTTAATAAATGCTAAATCCAAATTTCAAAATAATTAAGTAGCTGTCAAATTTTTAAATTCATGGTTGTTACTGTGTCTCAGAAAGCTGGGTGCCGCTGAGGGGGGCGGTGCACCTCTCCGGAACACCCCTCCTGCCCCCAAACAACTCACACACACTGTGACCAGCTGCCAGACAAGCAGACAGGCAGGCAGCCTCCTCGCTACAACCAGCACTACTCTCACCGCCGCAGTCACAGCAGCGTCTCATGCCTTCACCTGCTCCGGGAGAGACAGCAGTCCATCTGTCAGTCCGTCCGTGCAGCCGAGCAGCCGGGGAGGTGGAAGCCTGAAGCGTTCAGATGAAGATGCTGGAAAACGGGAGGAAGGTGTTCAAGGAGGGTCTGCTGGAGAAGCGGAGCGACGGGCTGCTGCAGCTCTGGAAGAAGAAGCACTGCGTCCTGACCGAGGACGGCGTGCTGCTGCTGCCTCCCAAGCAGCACGACCAGCCGCAGCACCACCAGCCGCACCACGGCGGCGGGGACGCGGGCAAAGTCAAGGAGCTGCACTTCGCCAACATGAAGACGGTGGACTGCGTGGAGCGGAAGGGCAAGTACGTGTACTTCACGGTGGTGATGACCGAGGGGAAGGAGATCGACTTCAGGTGCCCGCAGGACGAGGGCTGGAACGCGGAGATCACCTTGCAGATGGTCCAGTACAAGAACCGGCAGGCGATCCTGGCCGTCAAGTCCACCCGGCAGAAGCAGCAGCTGCTGGTCGTGCAGATGCCCGGCCAGAAGACCGTCCGCAGCTCGCCTAATGTTGCGTGACCTGCGGCGTGTCCCGCGGACATTGTTGCGCCATTAGCGGTAAGACAGCTAAAGAGAACGCGAGATTGAGGGGGGCTCCCCAGGTCCGGGGACCACCTGGGGATCCCCTTGCAAATTAAGGACCCGTTTTTCGGTTTTGTTTTATTCCCTGGATATGTGTGCCACGAACGAGGACGTCTGGTTTCATCATAGGTAATAGTCAGATCAAACCCTGAGCGAATAATCTTCCAGAGGGGGACAAAATCGTACTAAATGTGGATTTATTTTGGCATAAAGAAAAGTTTGGGAGCCCCTGCTGTAGGCCTGCCTAAATGTCTCTCTCATGGAGGTGAAATCCTCCGCAGGGAATTGTGCTGGATAAACATTCCCAGGCAGGTTTGATACATTTTCGTACACGTAGGGATTGTCCTTATCCAAAACGGCTTTACGCGCGGAGAGTAGATTTAAATTATGTCGCGTTTTAGGCCGATTTACGTCAATACTGGAAAGATGTAAACATAATCCATTTAAAATTACATTTACATAACTGAATCAATGTTGGAAGAAGTCTACAGTGTTTACATTTAACCCTTAAAAACGTGTATAATATGCCTCAGAGAATCTTTAAATTAAGCGTAAAGACGCACAGATTGCGCGCAAAAGTCAAAGGCGGTCACGTCAATCCCCCCCCCCCCCCCCCCGGTTTCAGTTTATGCACACACAATAACTTAAAAAATTACTCTGACACCTCGACCTGTAGTGTCTCAGCCTCTCAGCACAGTCTCTGCAATATGTGCATCACCATGTGTATACAGATTTACAGTACAGCTGCACACCCAAGCAGCCCATCTCACTCAAATTTGTGTTAATCAGTGAAATAAGCTGATTTTTGGCCGTTTGGACAACCCATTTCCATGCACATGGCTCTTGGTGGCACATGGTGATCTGTTGTCACAACTGAGGTTTCAATCCAGCAAAGCATCAGTGGACTAAATATATGGAAACAATATGGTTATTGGGTCATTGTCATGAATAATAGACATAAGTCACCAAACATGGTGGAAACACTGGTCCTGGAAAGGGAGGGAGGGGGTCATGGTACATTGACCCCCTCAGCACTAAAGATTATGGGGGTGGGGCATTTAACTCATGACCTCAGTATTCCTAATATCGTAGCTACAGCCCTGCTGAACAGTAATTCCCGCTCTCTCATACATGCTTATTTATTTAATTGAAAAGATAAAAGTAACCTCAGTTAAAGCTTACAGATAAAGTGAGGGGGAGAAAGTTTTCCCCATTATGTCAGTTTGAGTTGGCGTCAATGGTTTGATCTAGACTGTTGAAATGAAATGAGCTGCCTGAGGTCCTATTATATTGAGTCTGTGTTTCAAGTGAGTTTAGATTTCTTTTGCCTCCTGTGTCACGCACCATCAGTCAGCAGTCTGTCTAACTGATTGCATCCGCAGGTTAATTGGACACTCAGCTGGAGGATTATTATCTCCCCCTGCCACTTCAGCGCCAAGCTCCACTCTCCAGGAGAACCCCTCATCCATGTAGTGGTTTCCACACACCAGTGGCCCCTGTCCCCTTTTCAATACAGAGACTTATTTCACAAAAGACTGATCAACAAAAAGCATGTGAGAAAACAGGTGTATTCTACCGTGCGATGGGTTTATCCCTTATTTATTATATGTGTATATATATTTTCTATGAAAAATGTTATGATGTTGATGAATGTTCAGTGTGGTTGTTGCTAGAGAGGAACCAGAAATACTCGCTTGGAGGTTCATAGCCCACGTTACACACAAAGTCCTTTGGGAATATGCTTACATAGTTATCTTAGGATGGTTGCTGTAGATTAGTCAAATCAGTTCTTTATTGGTAAAATGTGTCATTGTCCATGTTTTCGTTTTTCAACTGAACCAAAGAATCATTTCTCTCTCTAGTGCAGTGTTACAACTCAGAATATACTATACTAAAATACTATAGATATATGATGAGATACCTGCATGACCTATATCTAATTTGTTTGATAGCTTTTATTATTAGCTACAGTACATCTTCGTATTTTCATTGTATACAAGAATCATTTCCATCATTTTATTTGACTGCTTTTATCGATACAAAAGCTATCCTTTGTTTTCTTCTGAGTCTTAAATCTGAGTAAGATACTAGCTTTCCACGCAGTTTGTTTTCAGTGGTTACAGAGACAAGCTTATTCATTTAATAAGTCAGTAACATGCACAGTGGAGGTTTGTGAAATTGATAATTCTCAGGAGCTGAACTGCTCTAAACACAATTTAATTGGTTGCATTCAATCTTAGTGGGTGGGGACAAATTACCACTGTTCTGGCTTGGTAAGTTCTGTCTGAGACTAAAAAGGAAACAAATGCTTCTTCAATTTGATAACCAAAAACAAGGAGGAAAAGTACATTTGACATTTTCAAATCTGTGGAAATTCAGAGGCTTCCTCTGTGTTCAAACGTCTTGGTCATAACAGGAGAAGCTATTGTAGCTTGTCAGCTGTCAAACCATCCATCTACTTTTATTTGGCCCTCCACCTGCTCCACAAAAGAGGCACGTTTGTAGACAACTATGACAGGAGTCAATGGTTTAATTAGGTCTATTGAATAAACTGTGTAACTTATTGCCCTGTTAGAGATTGTGCCAACTAGCTTCCGTACTGTCAGTTAGCAAGCTAGCTAGCTTGTCAGTAACAAAAGATCTATTATGACTGACCAGTACCAGCATGTTCCCTATAAAATGTACTTGTTTTAAAGACATTTTGTGGTGTACTGGAGAAAGACTTCCTGGTCCAACGTGTGTCACATGACCTACAGTTAACTGGGCCACTCAGCTAAAATCACATGTCAACGTAGTGCTGCTACAAGGTCCTGTTATTGCTCTCAAGGTTTGAAAGCTGTCATGTGTAAGATTATCTTCTCCAATCGTTGCTCGTTGTCCTTGGCTACAAAATTGTGACAGATTTTGTATACAAAATAAACCCGTTTGAAGCTAGTTAGCTAGCTGCTGACTTTCCAGTATCACAAATGTTTTTGAAATGTCCTTGGCAATGCAAGCTTACCAACTAGCTAAATTAAGCTAAAACAGACTCTTAGAAACTCTTTTTCCCACCAGCTTTCTGCCAACTCTGCCTCTGATTGGCAAGTACTTGTTGCCTTCGTTGGTTAAGTTGGTTAGGGGAAAGGGGTTAGCCAATCAGAGACAGCGTATGGGACATGACTTGACCATTGACTGTATTAAAGTGGACGTAGTCATCGTGACGTCACTTATCGGTTTGTGGACTGACGTTTTGAAGCCTAGATTTTGGCATTATGGCCGTCACCATATTAATTTTTTGCAACCAGCGGCATCGGACATAACCATATATGGACAATTCTGAGCTAGCCACCTTGGTTAGCAAGGTGCATCTGTAATTCACGTTGTCTGTGATTTGATGCAAATTTTGGCTATTGAAAAACAGGCTAAAAATGTAGGCCTGCTCACCAGAGAAAATAAACCGCCGACTCTTAATAAGCTTTTTCAATGGCGCTGGTTAAATGTAAATAGTGCAGCGGATACGAGTCACTTTAGCCTGATTTACAGGTCGCCATGGTAGCTACTTGTCAATCAAAAGGTAGTCCCGTCCAAAGCATCCCCTACTTTATAGTCTATTTTCTCTCTAAATGGGAGCATATTTACTAAATGAACATCATACTTTATTGAAGATGACTTGATAACAGCGACTAAACTATAAACTCATTATGAAAATGTTTATTAAGGTAATAAAACAAGTGGGAAGTAGGGGCATTTTACCATTATTTCTAATGGAACCAGACTTCTTTTTGCAACCAGTGGAGTGACCCCCTGCTGGCTGTTAGAGAGAATGCAGGTTTTAGGACTTCCGCATTGGCTACACTTTTCGGACCCGGACGTTCCCCCTTGGGCTTGACAAAAAAATGGCAGGAGTTGTTAGAAAAAAATGACACATTTGTCTCCACCCACTTTACCACAGCCAATCATATTATTTCTGTCTCTATAGCAGGTCTGCCCCCCAGAGAAATGTTCATAAAACTATATCTCTAGTCTGCAGTTTTAATACTGCAAGGCATGCAATGTTTTTCATGACAAAAAGAACAGACTGAACAGTGTGATTGTTTTGAAAGTTCTAAAGATGGCGATACACAGGGAAACATCACGTGTTAATGTGTCAACTAACGGTCTCTGAAATAGCTTTTTTTCATGATAGAGGGATGTCTTGCCGTCACAAAACATTTTATTTCACTATGGCCCATGCTGTTTCCTGTTTGCTGGAAGTGTTTCCCTCTGCACCCCCCTCTTGCCAGTGTTTCACCGCTGAACCAACACATGCCTCCTTGTTGTTGTCATCTCCCACACAGGGTAATAGCTGTGCCCTTTATCTAATGCGACGGGTGTGATGCTTCTCTGACATGCCTTCCTGTTGCCATCATTATACACAGTTATAGCTGTGCCCTTTGTAGCCACTGTCCAATTTCTTATTTCAACGTGAGATCTATTTTCATACTTTGAAAAGATACATTCCATTAAAGAAAACAAAAACAGCACATGTCTCATGTGGTTTCTTTCTTTCTGCACAGCAGCAGATGAACGTCAACACCCTATGGTTCAGCAGGGTAATTTAAATGACCTGTTTAACTAGCTGCTGCTCTGTCGGTCTCCATGCTTTCATGCTTTACAACTGCTGAACCCTTCACCCCGTTTCCTGGTCTAAAAGTAGAAACCGTGTGCAGAATTGGGTTTCACTGCCAGTTGTTGCCGCTCAGATATTCTGCCAGCACGTACTGTCAAATGCACGCGTGGCTCCGACAACTTTCCTGTCCAAAGCCAAGCTAATTCAATTAAACCCGCGGTGCACATGACGGCATCCTTTCTGACGCATGAAGGGTTCGTTGCTGCTGGAGAGGAACATTGCTTGTCTCTGAATATTGAGGTCTGAAAAATAGATGATAGTCGCATTTGTGCAATCAGGAACCATAAAAGAAATAGACTTAAATTTCAGACATTTAGCAGATGTTCTAATCAAGGGTGAGGCAGAAATATTAAAGCTATTAATGTAGCTTTTGCTGTGGCAATTACATGATAATGGTAAACGGCAAAAGTTATCACAAAAAGAGAAGAGTCATACAACTAGCATAAAGCAATATCTATTTAAAATATGCTAACATACCAGACCAAGTGAGGCTGAAGCAGCAAAACCCCTATGCGTAGTGAATTATATCATCAAGGTTTTATTAAGGACATACACCCGGTCTAAAAAACAAGGCTATGTCTTTTTTACTGTTTTGGCCAATTCAGCAGATGTAAAATTAGTAATATATGCATTATTCTGTGTACTTTGTGATGAGGACACGAATAAACTCTCTGGTTGATAAATGCCTAATAATGTTCTAAGAAACACTGTGGAAAAGAACCATGTCATTTTGTACAATAATATAGACAGTTAATTCAGTGAATTAATGTAATCTACAAAATGTGCAATTTGTCTAGCAAGCACACAATTTAACATACATGAAGAGTAAAGTTCAAAGAAAATTATTAAATAATGTAATTTTTAACCTACAGAAGGCGAGAAAATATCTGTGAGGAGGACATGATAAAGTTACAGCCTTTCTTGCTGTTGACATCCCTCCGACACGGCGGCGTATCTCTTTGAACTCCCCAGCAGCAGCTGTTCCTCAAACATCACTTAGGAAGCCTCTGTAGATTGAAGTTGGCACGCAGTTTGACCGCTAACTTATTCCTCACCATCTCTCTTTGATCAGGAGGAAGACGTAGGCACTTGTGATAGAAGGCTCGTGTGGCTCTAAATGACTTACTAAGAGCTTGTAATCCAGATTTGTGGGGTCTCTCCTGAAGCCTCACCCCCTTTGTTTCACTAAAGAAAGATTAGTATTCTTGTAGTAAAGAAGAATCTTGCCCACTGAGACACTGACTCAGTACATAACCTAACTTTTCTGTACCTTCGTCAGAGATCTTTGTTTACATAGTAAAGCTGCCAATACTATGTTTTTCTTATTGTCACTGAATCCTATCAAAAGACCAAAACTAACAATATGGTAGTCCGTCTCTCAATACCAAGGTACAAGGTAGATTTATTTGTCACAATATAACAAGTTATAGAGTGAAATTGAGTTTTGTAACTCCCTTCTGCTACATAGCAGACAATATACATTAATACAGAATCAATTATGAAAAATGGTAAACAGAAATAAACTATCAACACTGGAGCAGTGCTGAGGATGACTTAGAGCTTAAGAGTCTGATAGCTTGGGGGAAAAGCTGCTCTGCAGTCTGGTGGTGCGGCAGAAGAAAATTCTATCTCTCTTCCCAGAAGGCAGCAGGGTGAACAGGCTGTGGCTGGGTGGGTACTGTCCTTTAGTATCCTTTGGGCTCTGCAGGCACCTCACCTCACCGATATCACTGATGCTCAGGAGATGGGTACCGATGATCTTCTGAGCAGTTTGAATCACCCGCTGCAGAGCCCTCCGGTCCTGGGCCGTGCACATCCCATTCCAGTTTGTGATGTTTCCAGTCAGGAGGCTTTCTATTGCTCCTCTGTAAAAGCTGACAAGAACTTGGCGTGGGAATTTGGCCGTCTTAAGCTTCCTCAAGAAGCCGTTTCTGAGCTTTCTTCACCAGCGTGGAGATGTGAGACGACCATGTCAGGTTCTCTGTGAGGCTGATTCCCAGGAACCTGAAACTGTTCACCTGCTCCAGCTCAGTACCACTGATGTAGACAGGAGTGTGTGTCTTTATCTCCTTCCTGAAATCAATGATCAGCTCCTTGGTGTTGCTGACGTTGAGCAGTAGGTTTTTCTGAGCACCACTCTGCAAGATTATGAAATTTCCTCCCGACATGAAGTCTCATCGTTGTTTGAAATTCGTCCGATGATGGTGGTGCCATCCGCAAACTTCACAACAGAGTTCTCTCCATATCGGGGGATGCAGTCGTGGCTGTAGAGCTGAACAGGAGGGGGCTGAGCACACAGCCCTGGGGGGCTCCGGTGTTGAGCACTAGAGTGGAAGAGGTGAGTCCACCAATCCGAACTGATTGGGGTCTGTTTGTGAGGAAGTCCAGTGTCCAGTTGCAGAGTGTTGAGTTTGCTGATCAGTTTCATGGGGAGATTGTGTTGAATGCTGAGCTGAAATCCACAAACAGCTTTCTGATGTCTTGAAGCAGGTGGGAACCCTCTCCTGAGACAGTGAGATGTTGAAAATGTCAGTAATAACATCAACTAGCTGATTGGCACAGGTTTTTAATACACCGCCAGGGACGTTATCAGGCCCAGCTGATTTACTCATATTCACTCTCAGCAGGATTCCTCACATCTGCTGTGGATGCTGACAGTGGCCGGTCCTCTGGAGGTGGAGTAGACTTTACAGCTGACTCCTTGTTGAGGAGATCAGAGCGAGCATAAAAGGTGTTAAGTTCATCTGGTAATGTGGCCTCACACATGATGGGGGAGCTCCTGCTTTTGTAGCCTGGGATGTTTTTGATGGCCTGCCACATATCTTTGGTGTTGTTGGTGTTGAGGTCTCTCTCCAGTCTCTGCTGATGTCTCCGCTTTGCCTCCTTGATGCCCTTTGCTCTCCTTTTTTGGCTCTGGATAGATCCCTCACCTCTCCATTCATCCAGGCCTTCTGATTGGGGAATGATTTTATCGTCTTAGTGGTCACCACATCATCAACACGTTTACTGATGTATGATGATATTGATGATGTATATTCCTCAAGGTTGATGTGGCTCTCCTGGGCGGCAGCCTCTCTGAACACACTCCAATCAGTGCTCCCAAAACAGTCCTGCAGAGCTGCTGGAGCCTCATCTGTCCACACTTTGAATGTCGTATTTGTTGCCTTGACCCTTTAAATCAGCTGGGTGTAAGTGGGCCGAAGAAGCACAACCTACCTGTCTGGGTTGCACTGCTTCCTGTTGAAATCGTAAAAAAGGCTTTAATTGCACCTCACAAAGTTTCTCTTAGCTTAATTTTTCATTTTTCATTTTTCATCCAACAGCTCAGTCATTTCATAAAACATCTGCACACTGTAGTTTGTCACAAACACTACTTAAATAGCAGTAAATAGTGCATTATGTTGGGGAATATTTACAGCCAAGGATTAATACACACTTGGTGCTCTTAAGTATTTACAGCAGCAGTACGGTGTGTGTGTGGGACTGAGTCAAAATGAGCTACTGTGTGTGTTCATGGTAGTGAAGGAACATGTCACCCAGTGTAACAGTGTGGCTCAAGTGTGATTTAATACCTTTTGGACAAAAGTGGACCTCTACGGCACAGAGAAATAAGCTATATCAGTTGTTGTTTCTGTTCTTTTTATGTTTTTTAATGAGAAAAACAGAATGTTACTAGACTTAAGCTGCCAGGATGCTTCATCAGAAGTCCTTTTCTGATGGTTGAACAGTTTCGGAAGGGAAAAAATATGTTCTTCTGTTGTTTCCTGAGGAATCCTAGGTGACTGCTGTCGCACAAAATGAAACAAAATCCCTCAAACGTTAAGTAAATCTGACACTGTAGCAGCTTCAAGCTGCTCTTTGGGACAAGTAAACTAAAGAACAAGCCATACTGACTCACTTCATAGCTTCTGGATGGATGACGGGCATTGACAGGCTTCTGTCATTTGGTAGCTGTGGTCAGTCTGGGCAACAGCAGATGATCACAAAGAAGTTATGCTGACAGATAAGTCTCCTTCTCCAAGCCTGCGCGTCCTTCTCTTCTCTAGACACGAACACACACTGGGTTAGATAAACTCCTCCTCCTCATCATTTCCCCCTTCCCTGTGGCATCTTGTCAGTGACATAACACAAGGCCTCTGTCACAAAGTATATTTCATGTTCTTGATATTCAAAACGTCAAGTCTGGAAAATAAATTCTTCTAAAACGACCCCCAGAACTGGACTCAAATATTTTATGACAGACCATAGGATTAGAACTATCTCATTAGTGTTCACAAACAAATGTAGAAACTCTTCCACTGCATCCAACGCTGATATGTCCTGGATCGTTGGCTGTGTGGTATGAAAAGAAAAAAAGCCAGTTCACACATAAATTCACCATTTGTATGTATGCCCCAACGCTGCCAACGGTGCATGAAAGTTGTCACGCTTTATTGATTTTATAGCAAATCCCAGGATATTCCTAGTAATCAATAACCTTTCAAGGACCCACTGTATCTGATAATGCTGAATGTCATTATGGACACTGAAGTACAAGAGTGCCTTTAAAGGGTTATTGATCCATAAACTGAATATTGCATAAAGGTGTGAGCTTTTCAGCTTACACACGTGTTGGTGATATGAAGATAAGCAGTGATTTCCTTTGTCTGTTAAGAGTTCTATGCAAATGATCCACAGGCTAATGTTAAGATGGTGCTAAGCCGTTCAGCACTGTTGAACAGACAGTGTACACGCAAGGCAGCTAGAAGTTTGAATCAATTCTTACCAGTGTGGGCCAGATTATCCAATGGGCATTTTGGGCAGGGGCCCAGGGGCCCATGTACACTTGGGGTGAGTGAGTGAGTGGAAGTAAAA